TAGCTTTCTCAATTGAGTGTATTAAGTTTTGGGGATCAGTGTTCATGGCGACGTCGGCTTCGTGAATAAACATGGATTCTAGCTCTTCTATTCTTTGAGAATTATTCTTAATTAAATTTTCTAGGTTATCTATTTTCTCATTAAACAAAATTTTTATGTCGTTAAACATTGCTAATACATTATCATTGACAAGGCCACCATTGATCACAGGTCCGGGGTTTGTTCTTATCGGTTGAGTATTATAGTTTTGTAACTTGGTTCCTGAACTACTTGCTTGTGCATATGTAATTCTACTGTTTACGAAAGAGTTTTTACCTATTAAACTATTTTTTTGAAGTATGCTCGCGTTCTTGATGGTTCTTTTAACTTTTCTATCGATAAATCTTTGTCTCAATTCTTGATATTTTGGACAACCTTTAAATGATGCGGGGTGTCCATGTGTGTTGCATCTAACACAGTATAGACGATTCTGGTCGATTTTTACATCTTTTGGGATCTTACATTCTCCCGGTTTGTGTTTTTCATCACATTTTACACATCTATAGTCCAGTGAACAGTTGGACGCTACATGGTCGGTTCTTTGGCAGTTAGAGCAAATGATTGGTTCTTTTCTACTTAATTTTTCAAAATATATTATTTGATTAAGAAGCCGTTTTGTTTTAAGTAGATTTGCGCTAACACTATTTGGTGAGATTGAGACTAGGAAGAATGGTAATTTTCTATTGTTTTTGTTAGACGAATTAGTGCTAAAATTGTTTACTTTAGTAATTTCAACATTTTCTAAATTCAGAATTTTCAACTCATTTTCTACTTCCTCAGCGGAGAAGCTTGCATCTAATCCTTTTAGTAAAAACGATTGTGGTTTCGACGCTTTCGGAGTGTATGTAAAGAATTTTATTTCTCTTTCCTTGAAATTTTTAATTATACAATCGTAGTCGGTCATGTGGTCGACTTGGACGTAGTGTTTATTATTATTAAGCCTTTTTATTGTGAAGTTACTTACTTTTAAATTTTCTTTAATTAATCTGTACGTTACCTGTTGATGTATGCCGTAGATTGTTAATATAGGAGGTTTATCCGAGTGAATGCTGTTAAGCTTGTTTACGTCTTGGTTACTTATAATATCTTGTTGAACTTTGTTTACTTGAGGTTTCCTTTTATTGGACTTGATGTCGGTTGTATATGAATTATGGTTTGCGATTTTCTCATCAGGAAGTGCCTGTGATTGGGCTGTATTCGCTATAATTTGTTCGATTCGCAATTTTAAATCATTGTTATCTTTTTTTAAGGTTTTTATTTCAGCTGATAATATGTCTATTATTTTTTCTTTGGAATTCGTTTTTATTAGGCTATTAATTTGTGTGTCTTTATTTTTCGTTAGTACTTTTTTTGCTGGAGGCATTGTTGGAGTAGTACTTACTGTTTTTCGTTTTCTTACTACTTTTTCATATGCTTCCTTTAAGGTTTTAGCTTGAAGTTGTTCGGTTGCGATCACCTTATGTGCAGCACTTAGGTCATCTTGCATTGTTTTGCTTGCGTTTTCCAAAACATTGATTTTTTTTGATACGCTAATTTTATCACTAACTTTTGGGCTAGGCCCGATTGGCACTTGAGTATTATTGTCTTCCAGATTAATGAAAACTTAAGTTGAAACTTTTGAGATTGAACTATGAGTCGGAACTCAATTCGCGATTTGTGCGACCGTAAACGATCGCAGCTATAACGCGACTCCATTTAATAATCGTAATCGCATTTTGTTGCACTTTATGGTAAAACTTTTATCCATAATTAATTATTCGACTTTTTTTCAGCATGAAACTCCTTTCAACTATAGTCATTTATTAATTTATTTATTTTGTTATTAATATAAATTTTGTTTCAATATATTTTTAAGGTTAGATAATCCCACGTTTAAAAATTTGCCAGTTATTCTTCCGATAATAAGATGTAACAGCTAATTCGCTTATAATGCATTTATAAATCTCAAGAATTTTTTTCATACCGTTTATTTGAAGAAGTAATACGCAATAGCGTTGTCATATCACACTTCGTACAATCCAATACTAAGCAGTGAGACTGTTGTCATAATGTTGTATGCACTTTTATTATTAGCTGAATAAGTTAAAAGCTTGTATGGAAATTGTATAATACGATAATAATCCAGGAAAGAAGCTTTATATAGTAGCGCAGTGAATCCAGATTTATCTTGATAGCAACAAGGTATGTATTCATTTAATCACTATTCTTTGACACAAAATGCTACTAAATTATGTGATATTCATCACTGTATCTTAAATATCAGAACAAAATAGTTTTAAAGTCTGGCTAACGATTGTACATTTAAAATTCGAAACACATTGTCAAGGTCGAGGTTTCAAATTTCATAACATATTTTATTATTGCTATTATAAGAATTGGTCATTTATGTTCAATATTGATGTTAGGTATTACATAGAAATTACTAACACGCCATCCAAAATATTTGCATCACAACTTATAAATATCAAATGAGATTCACCGTCCAATAATGTTTTATAAACGACAGGTCTCTTCTATCTATACTATGTATATTCCTGTTCATCTTCTATATTAAAAGAAACTTTCTGCTGCATTGCGAGCTATGTAGTAGCAGTATTTATAATCTAATGCTAGTATTTAGCAATAGCAGTGTTTAATGAATTCACGATTAATAATAATTCAACAGTGTATCTGGCAAGTAATTTTAAATGACTAATTCTATAGAATTCTTTCAATTATAAATTCGAATTAATTGCTGCACTCTCTGTGCTTATTTCTTTATAATGAAATTAATTGATTTTTTTCAATTCTTTGTTTATTCCGAGTTTGTTCATTCTCTGCCGCCTTTTCCCTACTCTAATTTTATTCCTGTTTTCGTTATGTATCAAAATATTTGAACAATGAAAATATAAACGTTTTTTTAAAGCTGTCTTATATAATGCACAATTTCGATATTCTCTTCATTTTGTAATAAATCATAGGTTTATCTGTCATTACAATAAATGTACGAGTCAAATTTAGCATAGTATTAGTTCGTCTTCGTTCAAAAAGTATGTAGAATGAAAATTATTCTTATTTTTGAATTTAGGGAACGTCCTTAAAGGATGGCTTCAGTGGAAGACGAGGCAAGAGACCAAAAAGAAAAAAGCGAATTTGTAATTCGTCACCTAGAAAATTTTTTGCAGCGATGTCTTGGTAACGAGAATTTGACAATGATAAATTATAAAGCTACCAATCTCCTACCTCTAGGTGAAAATTATACGAGTATTGTAGTCAAGTTAGATGTGAAAATTTGTCAATTAAAGGCACTAGAAGAAGAAGATTTGCATTTTGTGGCTAAGATGACCGATCCAGAAAGTACTATAGTATCCTAGCCAATTGGATTCAAGCGAGAACTTTTTGTATACGCTGAGTTATTGCCGATGAATAGAGATATCGAAAGAAAAGTTGGCGTTAAAGAAAATGATTTGATAGACATACTCCCTAAGTTTATTGGTTACAGGAATTCTTTAAAATATGGAGATGAGGTCGACAATGATTCACTATTCCTCATGGACAATTTGAAAATTAAAAATTATTACACACTGGATAGGCGTACTGGTGAGTATAATCATATTTTGCCTAATTATCTGCGATCTTCCAAATTTAATTTTTTTTTATCATATGATTTAAATATATTTATAGGTTTAGACACATCTCATGCAAAGAAATCTTTTAAAGCTTTAGCTAAATTTCACGCTATGGGAATAGCAATGAAACAGAAGCGAACAGAATTTGCCGCAAAAGCTATTGAGTATTATCAGTCTACATTTATCAAAGATGAAATAAATAGAAGATTGTATTGAATGTGCTCGTCGAACTTTTAACGAGTGTCCACGCTTATCGAAATATTTTGAAAAACTCGAATCTTCAATTTAATATAACTTAGAGGCGGAGACTCAAGAGCCATGGGCCACGATAAATCACTCTGATTTTGGGACGAACAATATCATGTTTCACAAAAGATGAAAAAGGTGACATCGATGATGTCAAACTCATTGACTTTCGAGCATGGAAGTCCTCTTCAAGATATTAGAGGTTTTATCGGTTGTAGTCTTGAAGAAGGAACGCTGAACAACGATATTGATGAATTATTCAACGTATATTTTGAAAGTTTCATCGGTATACTCCAATGAGTTGGATGTGATATAAAATTATTTACCAAAGAAAGTTTTGAGATGGAGCTTATGAAGCAACTTTTCGCCAATTTTATATGGTGCACTATTGCCATAAGAAATTTTGTACACGAGATTCAAGAAGAAGATAAAGATAGAACTAAACTACAGAAAAATGTTTTAGAAAATGAAACTAGCCAAGTGTGCAAAGAGAGACTTTGGAAGCTGATGGGATTTTATGAATTAAGAAATTAGTTTTTATGAATTTATTTTTATTTACAGTTTTTATGTTATTTACAATTACTGTTTTTGTTTTGACAAGTTGTAATTTACAATAAATTTTGTATAGTCTCATAGCTGAGTGTTATGTATTTGCAGCCTTATTTTGCCTTTTCAAACGCGGTAAATGATCAGCTTTCTGTTAATGATTTGATTTAACAATAAATAAATTATTTGTCAAATTACAATCAAAACCGTATTTTTATTATAAAATGTTCATAAGAAACTTTTTACCAATATTCGAAGTTAACATTAAATTTTTAATTTTTTTATTTAACATTATATTTTTGAATACAGAATTTTTTCAGCTATAACATGTTTAATCAACAAGTGGTTAATTTTTTTATATTAAATATTCATAATTAATTATACAAATTATCAAGTTGTAAAAATATCGATAATTTTTTCATTTGTGTGAATAATAAAATAATCTTAGAAATAACAGGGACAATTTATTTACATAATTATACTACTAATCTAGATACATAAGTAACAATTAGTTATTTTAAATAGCACCACGATTGACGTCTCATTCATTATAAAATTTATTCAAGGTAAATATCCCAAGCCAGCCTCAAGGCTAATTGAACTTTTTAAGCTCGAAGCACTGCTAGTTCTTCTGCCTAGTCTGTGTTGTCCACCAAAGACCGCTGCAATTTCAGCACTTTTCTTAATTGACAGCGCCTCGTGATGTCCAGGTACAGCATTTCCATGGTTACGTTTTTTTTTACTCTGGCCACGACGAGAAGAATCTTTAACATCGCCGCTTTCGGTACCGCCGACGTAAATTAATCGACCTTGAGGATCTCTTGCACTAACTACCAAGACTTTCTCGCTGCCCGATGAACATTGCGAAGAACGACGTCGGCTATTGCCTCCTGGTCGGAAAAGGTCGTAGTCAAGTGCGAGATTATCGGCGCTTCCACGTACTGACGACGACCGTATCTATGGAAAATACAAAAGAATTATTTTGAATTGTATGATTAAAATGTCTGAATTTAATACAATCAAATGTGTTTTGAATTTACTTACCCTCAGATATTCCAAACTCTTCGATGAAGCCAGACATTTACTAATAGTTCTCGATGTCTTACTTCTATCAGGACTTACGCCTCTGCTCAAGGTACCGTCTGATGGTACGATACCTTTTTGCCTTAACTGTTCTAAAATACTTGGTTGCTTGTGCTGCTGTTGATGTATCTTCGGTCTTCTCGCACAGTAACATTTGTTGCTTTCGGAGCAACTGTCTGTATCGCACGAGCACATTGTCATGGGAGGCGGAGGTATTGGCTGAGCATCTTGAGGTGTCTTACTGCTACGCGATAGCGAGCAGTAGCATTTATCCGCCGATATACATGTACATGATTCAGAATCGTAACTGCACTCGCTGCAGCTGACATAACCGCTGCTGCTACGATTTGCTGCAAGTAAGCTGCGATTTGCTCTTCGACCTGAAATATTCGATGAATAGGTTAATTATTTATTAAATTACATTTATTAAAAGCTTTAATTTAATTACTATTTTTATATAATTTTAAATACGATAATTTGAAATCCATCGGCTATTTGAATTTTCTATTTAGTTGAAACTTTTTTATTTTGTATAGTTTCCGTTTTGCTATTATAATTGATATTGCAGAATAAAAAACAACGCTTACAAGTATCGCTGTCCTCAGACGTAGTCTGTCCAATCCTGCTCTTTGAGCTACTGCATCTTGTCGTAGATCTTCTGACCAGCTTGCTCGCCAACACTTTACTACCCTTGTGCCTGTGTCCTCCTTTGGTAACATTACACGAAGACGAGCTTCCATAACTACCGCGGTCATTTAACTTTCTCGCCGGGTAGATAACAGAGGTGAATTCGGTCGGCGCGGTGCTGCTACTTTTGAGTCTAGATACCGAGCGTTTTATTGCTCGGCGAAGCAAACGTGCAGGGCGATTACTCGCACGACTTGAACGTCGGCGCTGCGGTCGACGACGTCGACGCATTATACTTGCAGAGCGCTGATATAATTCATCCTGTGTGAGAGTTGCTGCTAATTTAAGAAGAAATTCTTTGTACAGAGGTTTCAAATCATTAAATGACATGCCTTCTGGATCTGAAACGAGCAGCACAACATCAAATGATCATTAAACAAGTTTAATTTGACTACTTTAATGAATAAAAATTTTCGAAATTGCCACTATCTCGCTATTACGGAATTTTATTAATAAAGTATGATCTGACTTGGAATTATTTTTAAATTAAATATTTTAACTATTCATTGCTAGGAAAAGCAAACTAATTTCTGTAGGCAGGTAAGCAGAGTTATTCAAACAAAACAATCACGAGGATGCTGTACCTTTTCACGATTTACAAATGCGAAAAAAAAAACAGATTTCCGCTTACACCTATAATGATTTTCTTTTCTTAATTGAAATAAATTGAACTTACATTACGTTATATTAAGTATTGTGATTTCGTAATTTTTTAAATTAAGATTAATAAGAAGATTAATATTTACCGATAATGGCAGCAAGAATGTCGTCAACACTGGTCAATCCTTCTTGGTTTCTAAATTCATCAAATAATTCGGTAAATCCAAGCGGTGTACTGCTATTTCCACCCTCGATTCCATCTCTTTTTCTCAAGCTTTCGGGTTTTAAGAAACTTCCTCTTCTGGGTAGTTCTACTCTGGTTAACAAATCACCTTTATCCACATCAACGTCACTTTGAGAGCGTTTCAGCATTGCAGACGTTTGAGCTGCTGTAGCTTCGATTCGGGACGTAGGTGGTTCACTGCCGGCACGACTTCGCCTGCGCTCTTGCTGATGTTGCTGAAGCTTGTGTTGGTGTGGTGTAGTCGATGTGGCATGCTTTCGAGTTTCATTGCCTGATTTGCGTATTGGTCGATCCATTGTAGAAACTCGATTGAGTCGTTTGGAGGAACAAGAAGAATGTTCGGAGATACTACTTCGCATGCTTGCTGGCGTTTGTCTAATGAAACAATATTTCGACTTTTATGATGTCCTCAATTAAATCAAGTGTTATTTAAATTATTCCATGTAAAATACTCAATTATTTGTAAACGCAACTTGCAAAAAACAGCTTAGCTCGTTAACCAAAATTAGGAAACAATTTACAAAACAGAATTAGGTTCTATTTTACAGAAATCTAAGTTGTTATTAAATATACCTGCTGGCTCTTTTATGATCAATCAGCCTATTTTCCATCCGTTTAATACCGTGTTTATTGGTATTCATTTCGTCATAAATTTCTTCCGAGTTTAAGCTGTAAATTTTATCAACATCGCGGAAATGATCGCAATGCCCAGTGGAGTTGATACTACGTCGACGCTGTCCAGCATAGTTCGATATATTTTCAATGTGATAAGGTGAAGGAGGTGGCCTCGCTGCATAAGAATCCCGGCGTAATGTTGATGAACTAGCTGTTGAACTATTGGATGGACGGGCTGCTTCATAAATACGTTGATCGCTTAGCTGTAATTACAATTATAATTTATCTTACGATTTTTTAATATTCAAAATACACGTTCCAAATATCTTTGCTTTAAATCATTTAACATTTTTATAGGTGATTAGATTATTTATAATTAATTGACATAAATTTTCTTCTATTAAATTAAAAATGGTGAATGGAAAATTTGAAAATCATAGTATGTTTCACCAATCTTCTACGTCGAAATAGAAAAGGAATTTCTAAAAACTAGAAATAAAAAATTAGATACCTTCATTTCAGCAATGCAAGTCTTCGCATAGATTCGGGTACTTTCGTACAGGCTATTCTCATTCGAAAATTCGAAGTCATAGAAACCGCTACGTGTGCGATCACTTGACGGCAATTTTTCATTGTAGAATTTATTCTCTTTGTTCATTTTCTCAATGACCTGCGTCCCTCCCAGTAAAACCTGACTGTTCAAACTTCGAGAACCGTAAATTTTATTCTTGGCATTCATACGCCTTTCTTGGCTCGTCTGTAAAGAATTGCAAAATGATTAAATCATACGTAAACTTGTAAATTTTCTCATATATAAAAAATAATAATTTATTACTTCGTTGGCAGACAGTGAACCAGAAGAATTAGCTAAAGCTTTCGACTCGTTTATATTAAAATCCTTGGATAACGAAAGTCGACGGTGGCGTGCCTCGAGTACATCTTCAGCCTTGATATCTGAATTTTTCTTTTTTCGTGGACGACCATTTTTTTCAATGACATCGCTGACATTTATGGGAGTTACTGTTGATGAACTAAGCTCATCTTCTGTGTTCACACTGCTAACTGAACTCTTCTTCGATCGTGGTGGTCTTACCTAAAAATATTACATTTTTATGAAATGTATCATTGTCACTAAAATAACAATGTATTTTAGTTTTGTACTAAATTAAAAAAAATGAAAGCTCAATACTCAGTGTACGTAAGACACAAGTCTTGAACTCACCGGACGACCAAGGGATGGAGGTGGGGGTGGCGGGGGCGGCACCTTTTCAATAAGTACATGACCAGCTCTATTCTCTCGGAACACGGAACACCTTCTGCTCCTAGCAGGACTAGTTTCCCTGGTGCTTGACACCACCGACGCTAAGCTCACACAGCCAAGTCCATTGTTCTGTCTGGGTCTCCTTGCAGTTGCTTCGAGATCGGCCAGTAAAGCACGATAAAGAGTAGCCGCAGCAGCAATCGCATCTTCATCGCAGCGACAAGCGAACGCGTGACACTCTAGTAAGCGAGCTGCTCCTGGACGACGCATCACCACCGCAAAGATTGGCGGGTAATCTTCTGCGTTCTTTGCCAAGCCACGCATCGTACGGTAGAGATCTGTGTGACGATCTTCGTTGTTTATCATTGGAATCTCGTCAGCCACTAGGGGTACGAAGGCGTATAGCAAGTCTTCTGAATTGTTCTATTACATGTATAAAAATATTTGACGATCAATTTGTTATTTACTATTGCTTATATGGCTTAAAAACTAAAAAATCACTAGGCTATCGAAGAAGAGAATGTCAATTTTAACACGCGTTTGACCGAACTTACTCGACTTACACGACATAAAGTAAAAATTTACCGAGTTTGGACGACGCCGAGTCTGGAGTTTCAAGGCACTCCACACAGCAATTCTGCGGAAAGGATTATTTTTTTCATGTACTTCGCTAGTACGGTATGTGAGACCACGCCGTGAGACTTCAAGTTCAGCGTTCACTGAGTCGCCGATTCGTTCTACCAGTTGACGCAGTGGCTCCTGTAAACCGCGTACTGATGCTACACGTCCGCCTACTGTGGCTGCACCCATGTATTTTACCTAGAATAACAGTGGTATTTCAGATATTGCTAGCGTTATTTTTTTAGTGCATATACATATAATATAAATTTTAGTATTTAGATACATAATTGAAAGATTATAAATAATGAATATTTACGATTTGTTAACTTTCGTCATCCTCTCGACATGTTATCATCCAAATGAATGAAATCCAAATTAAAATATCAAAATAAAATACCGTCGTATTAACTTAACAATTCTGAATTTCTTTACTATTAAATTTCCGAAAGCTCCAATGAGATTAAACCCTACCCTAATTTTATAGAAAGGGAAAAGTCCTACTAACAATACTACATATGTTTAATTCAAATACTAAATAATACATTACATCAACGCAGATGCGTGTAACACCTAAATGTTATTGTTTGAAGATTCGTATTCACGGCATCTTTAAACAACTGTAATTCAAAATATAACGAATTTGTTTCATCACTGAATATCAATGCTATATAACTAGACTTGCACTATAAATATAAAAATAATTATGCTTTGCTATGACAAATTTTCAAGAATGATTTTAAAAATTCATCACTGTTCAAGAAACTGACATTTCGAGAAACAGTCACGAATCTCAACTAGACTTACACCTTTGTGATCTAATATTTAGAATCTTATAAATAAAAGAAGTAATAAATTAACTGAATATTAATGACAATGTAGAAGGAATTTTGAGTATTCAATATCGTTCAAACATCAATCATATATGGTATATATCTGAAAAATTTAACTAATAATGAATTCCAAGAGTTATAAAAATTTAAAAAGTAGAAAACATTAAAAAATTTAAAATTATAGCTAAAAAATATATTCAAGTATTAGCAAAAATGGCAAAAAAGATACCAACGACACGCGGGGTTCCCAAGCGGTCACCCATCCAAGTACTAACCGCGCTCAACGCTGCTTAACTTCGGTGATCAGACGAGAACCGGTGTAGTCAGCCTGATATGACCGTTGGCGATTAGTTTAACTCATTGAACGGTGAAAAGTCGTGCCCAAAATGTGATACAATGATATCATTTTTATTAAATTTGATAATGAATTTGACTATGTATATAGGATTATTAACAGTCATTACAAGGCCGTATTTATATCATCGGAATCATCTTGACAAACAAGGTTTTCCCGAAAGATTATCACGAATCCTAACTAAGTACGTCATCTGCGATTCAACATGATTGCAATTACTTGATTTTTTATACGGCATGAAACAGGTTACTAAAAGACTGTAAGAGCCATTGATTCAAAAAAAAACTCAGATTCTAATATTTAAATAATTATAAAAAAGGCAAAAAGATACCAACAGCACGCGGGGTTCCCAAGCGGTCACCCATCCAAGTACTAACCGCGCTCAACGCTGCTTAACTGCGGTGATCGGACGAGAACCGGTGTATTCAGCCTGATATGGCCGTTGGCAAATCATTTAACTCATTGAACGGTGAAGTCGTGCCTAAAGTATGATACGATGATATCATTTTTATTGAATTTGATAATGAATTTGACTATGTATATATGATTAGTGGTAGTCATTGCGAGGCCGTATTTATATTATCGGAATCAGCTCGACAAACAAGGTTTTCCCGAAAGATTATTACTAATCCTAACTGAGTGCGTCATCTGTGATTCAACATGTTTGCAATTACTTGATTTTTTATACGGCATGAAACAGGTTACTAAAAGACTGTAAGAGCCATTGATTCAAAAAAAAACTCAGATTCTAATATTTAAATAATTATAAAAAAAGGCAAAAAGATACCAACAGCACGCGGGGTTCCCAAGCGGTCACCCATCCAAGTACTAACCGCGCTCAACGCTGCTTAACTGCGGTGATCGGACGAGAACCGGTGTATTCAGCCTGATATGGCCGTTGGCGAGTGGTTGAAGTCATTGAACAGTGAAGTAATGTCTATAATATGATACGATAATATCGATTTTTTTGCATTTAATAATTAATTTATTAAAGGTGGTACGATTATCTTAAGCCATTACAAGGCAGTATTTATATTTTAGAAATCATCTCGACAAAAAGGATTCTCCCGAATGATTATCACGAGTCCTATCTGAGTACGTCATCTGTTATGTATACTCTGTCAGATTGTCTCTCAAGTCTAAAATATTCGACAGCACTCCCGCTTATTTGTACCAATTCGTTAGAGCGATATAATACCAAATAGTATTGGCTGCATGTCGACCCCCGTATACAAGATGAAATTCGCAAAAGGTCAAGATACAAGGCATAAAAATTATATTAAAAACCGATTTTAATGGTGTATGTACACATATACCTATACGTATATTTAAATGTAACTCCAATATGTGTCTATTGTACGAAACGAATAGCACGCCTGGTACGATGTACAGACTGCGAGCTTGCAGCTTTATAAGACTGATTCCTCCACCACCCCCTTTCCCACTCCTCTTTCCCTTGTGTCCCTTAGATATTTAGTCTCGCGGGATTTTGTAGTTTTTTCCCCGCGTACTCACCCTCAAAATTTCAGGCAACGAGACTGACGTCCAGCCTGCCACTCGTCATCGATATCGCCACTTCAAACATCGATACCCACACATATAGCTAATAAACGAGACTTCCGACCGAAGCGTACTTATTTATATATATATATATTATCTATATATTGTCAAGGCCTTCTTTTATTGACATGTTTGCGCCTACCTATGTATCCATATTGTAATCTATTAAGCAAATAAAGTCATTTTGAAAAAAAAAAAAAAAAAAAAAAGTACGTCATCTGTGATTCAACATGATTGCAATTACTTGATTTTTTTACACGGTATGAAACAGGAAACTAAAAGACTGTAAGAACCATTGATTCGAAAAAAAGCTGATATAAAAATATTTTAAATAATTATAAAAAAGGCAAAAAGATACCAACAGCACGCGGGGTTCCCAAGCGGTCACCCATCCAAGTACTAACCGCGCTCAACGCTGCTTAACTTCGGTGATCGGACGAGAACCGGTGTATTCAGCCTGATATGGCCGTTGGCGAATGATTTAACTCATTGAATGGTGAAGTCGTGCCTAAAGTATGATACGATGATATCATTTTTATTGAATTTAATAATTAATTTGACAATGTATATATGATTGTTAACAGTCATTACAAGGCCGTATTTATATCATCGGAATCATCTTGACAAACGAGGTTCTCCCGAAAGATTATCACGAATCCTAACTAAGTACGTCATCTGGGATTCAACATGATTGCAATTACTTGATTTTTTATACTGCATGAAACAGGGAACTAAGAGACTGTAAGAGCCATTGAACAAAAAAAAGCTCATATGAAAATATTTAAATAATTACAAAAAACGCTAAAAAGATACCAACAGCACGCGGGGTTCCCAAGCGGTCACCCATCCAAGTACTAACCGCGCTCAACGCTGCTTAACTTCGGTGATCGGACGAGAACCGGTGTATTCAGCCTGATATGGCCGTTGGCGAGTGATTTAACTCATTGAACGGTGAAGTCGTGCCTACAGTTTGTATCGATAATACCGTTTTTATTGAATTTGATAATGAATTTGACTATGTATATATGATTGTTAACAGTCATTACAAGGCCGTATTTATATCATCGGAATCATCTTGACAAACGAGGTTCTCCCGAAAGATTATCACGAATCCTAACTAAGTACGACATCTATGATTCGACATGATTGCAATTACTTGATTTTTTATACTGCATGAAACAGGGAACTAAAAGACTGTAAGAGCCATTGAACAAAAAAAAGCTCATATGAAAATATTTAAATAATTACAAAAAAAGGTAAAAAGATACCAACAGCACGCGGGGTTCCCAAGCGGTCACCCATCCAAGTACTAACCGCGCTCAACGCTGCTTAACTGCGGTGATCGGACGAGAACCGGTGTATTCAGCCTGATATGGCCGTTGGCGAGTGATTTAACTCATTGAACGGTGAAGTCGTGCCTAAAGTATGATACGATGATATCATTTTTATTGAATTTAATAATTAATTTGACAATGTATATATGATTGTTAACAGTCATTACAAGGCCGTATTTATATCATCGGAATCATCTTGACAAACGAGGTTCTCCCGAAAGATTATCACGAATCCTAACTGAGTACGTCATCTATGATTCAACATGTTTGAAATTACTTGATTTTTTTATACGGCATGAAACAGGTTATTAAAATACTATAATAGCGATTGTTTCTAGAATAGCTTAGGTTACAATATTGAAATAATTATAAAAAAAGGCAAAAAGATACCAACAGCACGCGGGGTTCCCAAGCGGTCACCCATCCAAGTACTAACCGCGCTCAACGCTGCTTAACTTCGGTGATCGGACGAGAACCGGTGTATTCAGCCTGATATGGCCGTTGGCGAATGGTTAAAGTCATTGATCGGTAGAGCTCTGCTTAATTTAAATTGGTAATACCCATTTTATTGGGTTTTATGATCGTGGTACCATTACCTATAACTATTTCGGAGAAACAATTACATTTTGATATTCATCTTGACAGAAAACGCACATTCCTCTAACGGATTATCACGAATCCTAACTAAGTATGTGATGTAAGATGCTTGCAATTGTTTCCTATCGTTAATCTGCCCGACATAATTTACCAAAAGACTATAGAAATACTACGGTTTATTGAATCCAATAATTGCTAAGATATAAAATAATTAAATGGATTAAATTAATTAAATTAATTTAAATATTAGAAAAGAGAGCCATTTATTCAAAAAAAATTTAGATAAAAATATTGAAATAATTACAAAAAAAGGCAAAAAAGATACCAACGGCACGCGGGGTTCCCAAGCGGTCACCTATCCAAGTACTAACCGCGCTCAACGCGGTTTAACTTCGGTGATCGGACGAGAACCGGTGTATTCAGCCTGATATGGCCGTTATCGGATAGTTAAAATGATTGCACGGTAAAGTTATGTTTACTATTTATAGATAATATGCACTGTTTTTATATTTATAAAAGTATTTAGTAATGTTTCTATAAAATTTCCTTATTTTGACTTTGAACTTTAGAAATAAGAACAAGTAGCTACACTGTGAGACTGTGAATTAAAGGATTTGATATTATTCCGAAGAGCTTTTTTTTGATCATACCATTTCTGTTATTAGATATATTAGGCATCTGCTTATATTGTGCAAACTATTTATAATATGGTAGCGCTAAACTACTGGACTCAGCTATCTGTGATGATTATTACTTTATTTTGCTTGACTTAAAACATTACTTCGCTTTCAATGAATGTCATAGGATTAGTACGTGACAAAGTAGGCTTTATATTAAAAAATCACGTAATAAACTATTTTATAAGAAATAATATCATTTTAATACGCTGTCTAGAATTAGCAACTTCGTAAATCTGATTGAATTCGCTTGATTTTCACTTGTATACTACATTTTTCGGGGTTTCCTAACTCTAAATTTAGATTTCAAGTATTTTTTCATATGGTTGTAGAAAATATCTACCCGGTCGCCTCGAGAGAAAGTGAGTTTAAGAAATGAGTAAATCAGAATGTCCAACCACGCGAGTCTGATGTTTGTTAATTTTTTCTCAAATAGTTATGCTTTCAGCACTGTTAATCATTGCACTATTATACGTATTTTTCGCTTTAATACGTAGATAAGGTGCTCTGCATGTGTATCCAGCAAATATAAGATAGAATATTCTCAGACATGTAATTATTTAGCAGTTTTGTTTAATTTATGCACTTTTACTTTGTCTTATCATAAAAAGCACGTTGTTTAAATGTTATTTGAAAGGCGATAAGATTCAGAAATAATTTCTTTAAATTGATTAAACAACATAATCTGACTGATGGAGTCAGTCAACCAATCAGATCATGCACATGAGCATTTAAACATCACGCGAATCAAAAGTTGAACACTAACGTTCTCAATAATAAATAAATATAATAATATTATCTACAAAATTACAAAATTTACATAAAAGAACTTTCCAATTATAAGTATATAATAAAATTATACATAATTGGAATATAAAGTAAAAACAACATTGTAAATAAATGTATATTTGCAGCTGCCGATCAACATTTCCAATTTTAAGGAGCCTGTAAACGATAACTTCTATGACAATGCATGAAAATGTTACTCGACGGCTGGAGACTTATGCTATGAAGTTCGATCAAAGAAGGAATGCGCTTTTATATAGTTTTTGCTATATAAATGTTATCAAGGATACAATTTATCTTGATGGTCAATGTATTCGGTTCATTGAATCGGTACGTAAAGCACCGCTTAGTCAATTTCTTTTACTTCATATATTAATGAAGAAATTTTTTTTCAAATACCAGACTAAAATAGGTTACGATGCCGTTCAACATTAGTCTTTTGTACGTGCGATAATAATAGTAATTTATGTGTCAATAACGTTTCAAAGCTCATACCGTAGAATGACTGTTTGACAATTGTTTCAACGGACATTACGTTGTAGAGATTCCGTATAAATTTATGCTTTCTCCGGAGAAGACATTGAAACCAGAAAAGCCGTCGATTTTGTTATTCAAAGAATTCGAACGCTCAATTCGTTAGCTCATGCGAGACTAATCTCATTGACCGTGACAAATCGGTAGAGTCGTCTTTCAAATTACGAATGTTGCATAAATATATAATTTTCGAAAATTTTTATGCGCATTGACATCGTTTGAATTTTACTGTTACCTTGATTTCTTAATACATTTATATAAGCTATAGGATCCTTGTAAAAATAAGACGATCTCGTTAATTCTAAGACTGAGCAATTTGAATTTATCACTTACCGGTAGCACTGCAGCAGCGCATTCTCCGGGTGTAGAACTTTCAGCTTCGACCGAAGCGAACATAGCTTCGATGCGCGCTTGTACGGCACTATTAACTCGACGTTGCTGCTCTTCATCTGCAGCAGTGCAACATCCGACGTTACGAGGTACGAGGCTCGTGGACGTGCACCAGCTTGAGCTGCACACCGAACGCGAATCCTCGAACAAGGCGTCGATCCGAGCTTTGCTCTGTAATGAGCATTCGGAGGGAGCTGCCAATCGGAAACTGTCGCAGCGCGACATTATTGCGTCTGTTTTTAATTCTTGCGATTGTTTGATCGATTCTGAAAACACGGGGAAACACAGATTTTACATGATTTAATTGTAAATAACAAAAAGCGAGTATTACAATAATAACAGTCGTAATATGTATTAGACTTAAGTTAAAGAGAGTTAGAAAATAAAATCAGTCGGTTTCCGTTAGAACGATTGGAATTCTATTGCTTGACAATCCCACTTCAACTTGTCATGTACGACACGTTGAATGAAGTTCTAAATTTGTTAAAACGATTGACACCGGTCGTGTGGAATTTTCTTCAAGTACAGAACGGTTTTTTCATGTCTGAAAAGGCAGATTCGGTGACAGAGGAATCTTTAATGTTTGCAAACAGCCTCTCACCTTCGCGCGGTTACGATCCGTTAAATTTATTCAGTCGCGCGTAGTGGTGGTGAACCACGCCACAGGGAGACGATTTATTGCGTCTATGCACTTGCGACGTGCCTGGCTTTTGTCGCTAGTTATCCGTCGGTAAATTCATGCAAACTAATTTTTCTTTTTTTCCTCAACGTTGAAGAAAATATATTTTCACTTAGGAAAAGAGGTCAGCTTAATAATAAATAATTTATCTGCTTCTCGACACGAGGTAACTGTAAATAAATAAATAAATCTGCGCAAACAACCTATAGTATAATATATAAGTTTCAAATAAATGTAAAAATCGCGATAAAAATTTTCCGTCTTTTAAAAATTACCGTATCAAACATTGACGAGTTGAACCTTGCTGAACGAAATTATGTTCGCGGAAAGAAAATGATTTTATCTTTCCGCGAACAAAGTAAAAAGCAGCAAATTTCTTAACGATATTACGGTTTCTATAGCTTGATTGTAAAGCGTCCCGTACGAGGAGGACTCGTAAAACTTAATTGCTTTTGAGCGATTAACGGCGTTAATAGCAAGTAGCGCGAATGATCATGCAGTCGTTGTCGACGTTATTTACTAGCTGCAAAGATAATATTGTTAGTTACAAACGCGGATTGAGATACGTGTTTTATGATCAACTAAATGTGAGTTGAAGTTTCAGCTGACGTCAATTATATAATTTAAACGAGTGTTATAGAATTACAGGGATGTAAAGTGCAGTGTTCTACTTTACTAAACAGTTATCGCTGTCATCAGAAGCTTACCTTTCTCGAAATTTCTTAGAAAACTGTTTCTATTTTTATTAATTATTTTGGTAAGTGTTAATAACTTATGCTACATGTATAAAATTGAAAAAATGTTATGTCGACATGTGGTTATAACTTGAATAAATTTACTTTTAACCAAATAGTTTTGAATCAAAATTTTTAATCGATACTTTTCAGTCAAAATAATCATTGCAGCATTAAAAATGTATTGTGTTAAAAATACATCTGAGTAATGAATTCGTTTCTATACATATTAAGGTTTGTTCAGCATTTTATTTACAGAAAGTGTATCTGATTTGTGAGAGTCAACTAATTTTGCTATATTATTTTCTTAACAAGCCAATAGATTAGTTGCGATTTAACAGTATTTATAGTAGTTTTCTAAAATATACAATGTACCTAACGAACTTCTCTAAAATGATTATCCTTGTTAAACTTTTCAATCTTCATGCCGGACGAATTCAAACATGAGACGTAACAGTCTGTTGACAAGAAAATTGGTTAATCGCGTTGCCTGGATCTACTGGAAAACAAAAGTTACTAAAAATGTAGATATTTATTTGATAATTGTTGCGGTGCAGACATGACAATAAGCCTCTTGTTACGTAACTTTTAAATTGAACTAATTGCTGTGCTTTCAAGTAATAAACAAACAGTTAATTGCAATTCAAACCACATTCATACTGAAGATTTTCTTTGTATGGACAATAACAATCTCGATCGAAATTAACTGCAAAGTTGTATAAAAAACGGGATTACCCCAAAATCCGGAATTCCCGGTGCAGTTAAGAAGCAAAGAAAGAATACGATCTCTCATATCGAGAGCGCGGTACGCTCTCTTACGGGATGAGCTGATGCATGAAAATCGTTACGCACGCGTTCGGGCGAGCGTGGCTCTCTCGTTTATTCTCTAATATATATATATCGAAATGAAGCAAGGTGATTTTCTTCACTATACATACGCGGCCTTGATTTTTCGTTGAGCGCCCAAGGAAAGTTGTACACTTTTTCCAATTAAAAAGCCACGGGGAATCGAGCTCGCCTCTCTTTATCGTGGATACGCTTTTTTACATGCGCGCGCTATCTGTACTCTGTTTTTCTTTCTGTCTTTTCTTCTTTCTCGCAAAGTCAATGATTTATTCCGATATACTTAAAGTCTACGGGTGGAAAGTTTTCTGAGCAATTAACAATGTATATGGTCGCAGAACTGCAATGGAAAAAAATAACTGAAATTCGTTTTAATAAACATTTAACATTTCAACGAAACTATAATGAAAAATCAGTGAGCAATGTCGTCTAAAAAGCTCTTGAAGTAATTATTTTCGTGTTTTCCAATTTTAAATTCAAATCGTCGGATCGAATTGCCTATTACCTCTTTATTTTTCAAATCCCCCCCCTCCACGTAACATACTCTTATCTCGGAGTATATAAACAGTCGCTACATATTCTACGTTACGATCGATCAACGAAACACCTTCCGTAGCTAAAGTATATAATCCGAAGATACACAAACTAGCCAGGACAAAATTGGACTCTGGCGTATATCTCATTCCGACCTTGATTCACCGAGTGCAACTTCCGGGAGACGCGTTCGGATCTGCACTTACCGGACTCGAACTCCGTGACGATGACTTCGCGCATGTTACAGCCTCAGGGCGATATATGCACAACTCTCTTCGTCCTTTTGTTCGCTGTTGCTTTGGATTAGCCATACGAAGAGAAAGAAGCTTGTTAATTGACTTTCTGATTTGCTTCCTGCCTCGCCCTTCTGTACGATAAGCGATTTCGATCTTCTTTGCTCCAATTAGCTTCTGAATTTTCTTTGCTTTAATTTCTTGACGACAGTTTGAATTTATTAAGCATTTTCTGCACTCGATTTATTAACGCAATATTCGGTGAACGCCAATGATCGAAAGTTTCTTTAAATGTTTCATCGCACTTCGCGACGTGCACAAAACATTCGAATCTCGTCTGACCAATCTCGATTTTTTTTACTTGAAATTGATAGAATCACTCAACAGTACGAGTTTACGAAACAACCGATTGTTTATCAAGCAAACGCCAGTCTACTACGATCTCACTTTCGATTGGAACTTTTTGAAAATCAAACATGAAAACAAGCAATTGCAACAAACACTAGCAAACATGAAAACAAGCAATTGCAACAAAACAGCAACAAACACTTGCGCCCTGTAAAATGTCACTTTGAGGCTCACCCTATAGGCGGGCGCTCGCGATCAGCTCACCGAGGAAGACGACAAAAAAAAGAAACAACACACTGGTAGAAGAAGATCGGAGAGCGCGATGCGTCGAAGGTGGAGGTGAGCTCGCGTCTGGCAGTTTCTCCGTGTGGCGGGAGAGAAGAAGAAGATCCAGAAGCGCATCGCTCGTCGGAGAGAGAAAGAAGCCTCCTTAACGGTATCCGCGGCTGAGCTATACTGTTACGCCGGCGCCGGCCATGCATGAGTTTAAGGCTTCCTTCCTTCCGACCGCGGGAGTGAGAAAACTTTTTCTTTTTCGGTTCGATTTTCAATCGGTTCGGATCGCGTCAAATTTCGAACCCAACATTTTCATAATGTCTCAGCAACAATTTCCTGATATTTTATTCGTAAGAGGATTTCTCTACAAAACTAGGAGAGTTGAAAAAAAAGTACGAGTAACCTACATGCTCATCGTACTAGCAAATGTATTTACGAGTGTGCTCAGTGACTTGGTGTAACTGACCCGCGACCCTGGATAGGTCTACCGATGATAAAATCTACACTCGCTACTTCCTTTCCTCTACGTCGAAGCGACAAATAGGTTTTTTTTTATTTCTATTTTCTAGAGCACGTGTTACAAGTCCGTGACCTTCGCAAATAAGTATTTTTTGTATTGGGTTGGGTTGAGTTAAATGAACGACGTATCGTTGATAACTAAATTTGAAGGTCGTTCATAAAAAGTAGTCTTTTTATATCGGCAATTTTCAACAATGAAATACGTGGTTTTCGGTGTTGTTGGATTTTGAGCTCTACTCACGACTGCACAACGTGGTCATGCATTTTAAATAACTGTGATGTACGTGTACACTTTGTCACGATGTTTATTTGCGAATAGGACAAGGCTGCTTATAACGGGTCACTCGAACATATTTTTTCAAGTTCTGAAAAATTATCGAGTTTCTAATCCAAGTCTTTTAAATTTGAGCGCAGGAAAGGAACTTGCCGCGCAACGTGAACTCAGTTTGCGGGTTATTTATAGACCTCACTAGCGCAACGAGATAATTTTTGCAACTTGAAGCGTAAACATTTTTTACGACATGAACATTTGTGAGTTAATAAATATTAGAGGATATGAATAGTATAACGATACTTTTAATGCTGTTTTGCAATTCTGCTCGCTTCAATAACTTGATTTTCTGCATTCTTCAATCTCGCAAGATCCTTTTTCTTTTCGGCGATAAACTATTTTCTAATATAATTCGGCATTCCTCGTCACACTCATTATAAGAAAAAAAAAGGTAGCTGTGTGAAACGATAAAACTAATACCGATCGAAATACCAATCTCCGATCAGAAAGTGCATACCTTAAGCTCGTAACTGGCGGCTGGCAATAACAGGTCAAGGTACAGCATTGTATCAGTGACTCGAGAACATAGTCGCCCTTCGAGTGTACTTATACACGAACGAGTGTAAAATCCGAAATCGTAATATGCAAAGCATGTCACGGTCGCGCGTGGCCCATGCGCTTAAATGCGCGCAGAATCGTGAACGGCTTTTTTTGATTTTCGCAAAGGATCCGCTTTCCGCGTGCCGTCGGCTTTGTCGAAGGTCGTTGCCAGTACTTGGTATTCTCCT